TTGGAGATTAGGATGAGAACCTGATCATCTTTTACTTGAATGGAAAGGTATTTATTTATTTTTGTTTTAAAATTTTTTTTTGGTGCCGGGAATGGAACTCAGGGTCTTGCACTTACCAGACAGGCACGAAGGGTATTGTTTCTTAAGATAAAGAATGGGAGGAGAGTGTTCTATAAATTGAGGAGTAATATATGGAAATGTATTGAATGGTTCAAGAATTGACTTTATTGAATGGTTCAAGAAAACATTTGAAAAGCCTAGATAAATAGTTGAGAAATTATTTTCTTAACATAAATATTAATTCACAGTGGTTTTTTGGGAACAAGAAAGAAGTGGTATGTTTAGTGCACTCATGGTAGGGTACGAAGCTATGTCAGCATGCCAAAACATGGGCAGGGTAAGGGAATATAAGCATAACAGTTGTAGGTTGTGACTTGGAGGGAGCTTGGTAGCTTATCACTAAGTCAGAGTAGAGAATTAGTGTGAAAGGAGCCCCTGGAGTGGACCAAGGGCCCATTATGCGGATTATGAGGCAGAGCTGGGAACAGAGACTTACTAGAGGTTGCACCCAGTCATTTAGAGGAGGCAGAGGCAGGGAGAAAGGTGGATGTGAGAACTGCGTGCTGTAGTGTCCTCGGATGGGGACACGAGCCTGGGCAGTTCGAGGGCATCTGCACATGGCACAGCTCCAAAGATGTCTTAAAGACACCTTTCAGCGCCTCCTGGAGTCGGGGAGTGGAGTGGGAGAGGAGCAAAGGGGTGAGGCAGGCTCTGCTGTCCCCACTCCTTCATCTGTTTACCCTGTGCCAGGCACTGCCCTGACTTTGAGAGGATGTGATTAAAAGCACTCTGTCTTATGTCTAGAATGCTTGATTTTGGCCACTTGAAGAACAGTTGAATAAGAAATAATCTGTTAAACAGAAGTCATCAGATCCAGAAATCGAAGTACTTAAGGGAAGCATTTGAAATAGGTGGTGTCTGGTATAGGCCTCACAGGGGACAGCAGGTGGCCGAGGACAGGATGACTCATAATTGTTCAGCCTCAGAGCTGTGCCCAGCATGCAGTGCAGCGGGTGGGGAAGGAATGTGCCATCTTAACGTAAAACTTCCTTTCTGAATTTGGAGAGAAATTTATCCAAATGGATATTTCTAGGTGAAATTCAGGGCTTTCACGTGGTCTCCAGGGCTTTGGGCTATGCACATTTAAAACCCTGAGGGTGAAACAGTGACAAAGTCCAAAAGATCCAGGAACAGACTTGTGATCCCAAAAGACAGTCTGTAGATCTAGTGAAGAAATCACTTAGAACTACCCGTTTATAGAGAGAGCTGCTGTAGACTTATCTGTTTGCCTTGAATCTTGCTTGAAATGTAAGAAGAGTAGAAGCGGTGTAGGTAATTTGTCTATATTGAGGACTTGTCCTTTGAAGAGTTACATTTTAATACGAAGAAACCTGAAGCATGTTTTGTGATGCGTTATAATCCACACTGCAGTAAGCCTGTCCTTGGGGCCAAGGTGTTCCTGGCAGGCTCCTTCCGCCCAGCTTCCTGAGTGGAGGGCAGCATTGCCTGTCTTGCACGATCACTGCTTGGATGTCGTGGTGAGTTGTTCCTATCACACCAGTGACGCATTGACATTATTCTCTTGTGGAGCCCCAGTTGGACACACAGGTGTTGGTCAGCCAGGACCCTCCTCTCTCTCCATTGCTTCACCGCCACACTCAGGTCATTAGCAGACCCTCCTCTCCAGGCTCCACATTCTTTCCTTTCTGACGCCAGCCCCAGCTTCCACATGTGAAGTTCAGTCCGCCACGCTACAGTGTTTGCATTTGTTTTCTGGTTAATTACTGAGTAAAGGGATTTCACTCAATGTATTATTTATTTTTTGACCTTTAAGTCTCTGACTCAGGAAGGAAACCACTTGTTCCTGGGAGCAGATCTGGGATTGAGCACAGGCAGAGAGCGAAGATGGGATCCTTAGGGTCCTTTGTGATGCTCCCTGGTTCCTCCCTTGGCTGTGGCTCCCCAGTGAGCACAGGGACTGGGCTGGGCTGCTGGTGGCTTACATCTAGAGGGAAGAGGTAGTGTGCTCTCCTGGCTGCACTTATAGCAGGCGACTTTCAAATACTTTATTAAAGTCCTGGAACATGTGAATGAAACTAAAGGAGACGTCTGTAGAAGTAGGTGAAGATAGCCATGTTTGGAAACCGTGCACACTCTGATCAACTATTTCCTAGTGACAGCAGGGCCTGTCCTCGGAAGCCTGTCTTCTTTCCCTCTTCCTAGTAGAGCAACGTTGCTGTTATCATTGGGAGAGAGCAACCTCAGGCTTTGGGGTTATCTTTGGCTGTCAACCAGCAACTTATTAGGATTTCAGAGCAGAGAGCAGTAAGCTCATAGGAAAGCTCAGGCTGAGGAACATGGCTAAGGGAAGGAGAGGAAGGTGAACTGAGGGTCACTCGGGCATCAGGGGTGGCTAGGGACACAGGAAGTCCTCTCCATTGAGCAGGAAGATGAAAGGCCTATTTCTTTATTTGGTGGCATATGTGCGTTGAGGATGGAAATTAAACTGCCAAGATGATGGAGAAAACTGCCAACAATAATGATTATAGCTGTTGGAGCAATAAAGCTGGTAAAAAGACAAAAACTTGGTTTAATACTGTGTAAAGAATACCAACTTCAGTTACTCATGTAAATGCTTATTAGGCTAATTACTATCATTTTTAGCAATCATGGATACTATTAAACATATCAGATTTATTTGTGTAAATTTTGTTCACAGAGCTAGCTTCTCTGTCCTTATGTTGATTGATCAATTGTACATCTGACTTAGATTTTCTAACTTCGTAGATCTCATTCTGTTAGATAAGTTTGTATATCTGGTCCCGTGAAAGGCTGATATTTGATTATAAAGGACTATAAATTTGTTAGTTATCAGGCAGGCATTAGAAAATGGCAGGTTTTTTTTCTAGCCTACTCAGGGAAACATGGGTATTTGCATCTAAAAATACTCCCTAGAGTACTTCAGGACTGAGTACAGTTACAGGTGGCTGCGCCTGATCAGAATGAAAGATGGGAAGGGGCATTGTGAAAACCTGAGGTCATCTTTGGCCCCTCAACTAGCACCTTACTAGGATTTCAGAGCAGAGAGCAGTAAGCTCATAGGAAAGCTGCTCAGGCTGAGGAACATGGCTGAGGGAAGCAGAGGAAGGTGAACTGAGGGTCACTCGGGCATCAGGGGTGGCTAGGGACACAGGAAGTCCTCTCCATTGAGCAGGAAGATGAAAGGCCTATTTCTTTATTTGGTGGCAGGAGAATACCGAGTAGCAAGAGGGGAAAGAGGCTCTCTAGAGGGGAATTGAGTATTGCCCGTGTAAAAAATAATGGCCATAAAAGGTGAAGGTTAGAGGGAAGAATTTGGCTGGAGGGTGCTGCAGAGCTGTTTGTGTCCTTCCTGTCTGCACGTAACCGGTGACTGGTTACATATGGCTTGCCCTACTCGCCTTCACTGCAGACACCGCAGAGAGCATTGTTTGTAGCAATCATGTAGCTTTTTAATGGGTAGGTGAAGAGACGGGATCCCTGACTCTTAATTTCATTTTCACCCGGTTAGGGAAGTGACTTTCTGTCCATGATTCGTTCCACTTCAAAGGTACGTATTAGGAACTGTTGGTAAAGCTACCATCAGTAATACACACAGTACTTTTAAATTTGGAGAATGAGTGCCTGTTAGATCAGGACCATCTTAGAAGGCCTTAATTTTTCAGTTTTGCATACCAAGAGGATTGGTACATAATAGGTGCTCCAAATGAATGTGTTGAATGTGTATACAAGTTTCCTCTTAAATTGTGCAGGAGCTTGGGATTTAGCTCAGTAGTGGAACACATGCTTGGCATGCACAAGGCCTTGGGCTCAGTCCTCGGTACAAAAAATAGAAAAAGAAATGTCAGTGGATAATAGTAATAACTATTTATTCTGTGATTCTGGTGCCTGGCGCTTCCTTGATCTTTCAAACAGACTTCTGTCTTCCCTTAGTGTGGGTGAGGATTGGTTTCAGGATCCTCCCCTCCCAGGATACCAAAATCCATGGATGCTCAAGTTCTTTGTATAAAATAGTCGTACTATTTATATATAATTTGTGCAATCTTCTGTGTATTGTAAGTCATAGATTATGTATAATACCTAATACTATGTTAATGCTAAATAAATGTCATACTTTGTTTTATTTTGTTTTGTTTTTTGAGACTGGGTCTCACTGTGTACTTCACACTGGCCTTGATTTCACAAGGTGTGGTCCTCCTGCCTTATTCTCTCAAATGCAGGGATTATAGGTACGAGCCATCCCACGCAGTTTGTATTGTTTAAGGAATGACTATAAAAAAAAAAAAGGTCGGTACATGTTCAGTTCAGGTTGAATTCTTTCTGTCTGATGTTGGCTGAATCTGTACTAGGGAACCTGCAGTTACAGAAGGCTGACTATTTTAGCTGACGTGTCATGCCACAGAGGGAGACAGGCATTACTGTATAGTACCCACAGAGGAAAAAGCTGGGCAGAGCAAAGTTAAGTAATTTCTCCAGTAGAAGCCAGCATTCAGCACCAAGTCAGTTTGACTTCTCATTTAACTCTTGTATACTGTGCCATCGTATCTCATATAGGGAAGGAGTTGAAGTTAAAAAATAGTTTTGCTATATTTGAATTAGTTGTTAAATTGTCACGGTAGACACTGCTATACTGACATGTACACATTTTCTCAGAAATGGTTAAGTATGTAATATGTTACCAGAAAGCAGTGGGTTAAAGAACTTGATTTTCTTCTGCAGATTTCCCAAATGTAGTGGGTGACCATAAATATTATGTAAATGTGAGAAGTATTAAGTGTGTGGTGATAGGAATAAAGTGTACTGTCTTGGCAACTAGACTATGCCTACTGAAAGTTGTTTGTCCTTGATACATCTTTGAAGGAGAAAAAACAAAAACAATTCTTCACATTTTTGACTTACAGGGGGATTCCTCAATGTCAATGTAAGTGAAGTCAGTTTTGATGAAGTGCATCAGCTCTTTTCTAAGGATTTAGATATTGAGCCAGGAGGTCACTGGAGGCCTAAAGACTGTAAACCCAGATGGAAGGTGAGGCAGTTTTGTTTTTTTTTTAAATAAGTAATTTGACTGTGGCTGTGCATCTGAAAAAACAGTGATTGATTCAAAGTATAGCGTGAAACACCATTAAGATTTGATGCATTTAAAACATTAAAATGTTTGTATTTATTGCATTGCTTTTTACAGTTCCAGTGAGACTTAGTGTTACTTGTGAAGACTGAATGTACCTGTGCACACACAAAGTACGTGTGCATGTGGTCAGTCCCTTGGAGTTCCTGGTGGGCAATACACAACTTGAGTTTTATTTGGAAGGTAGATTTTGGTTCAGTTCTGTTTGGTAAAGAGGCTGTGAGTCCTCTGCCCCCTGCAGGAGTGGCTAGTAACTGCTGACTCCTCAGGCACAGCCCACCCATCTCCGAAGCTGAGAACTCACTGGGAGGGTGTTAGTATCCTGATCTACAGGTGAGTTAGCATTGGAGTTAACAAGCCCTATTTCTTAGAAGCAGTAATTCTGAAACAGTCACTCAGAACTTCCTGTGGGACTTGAAGACTTGTGCTCTTATGTTTCAGAAAACAGGGCAGGCTTTTGATATCTCAGAATTGCAGTTAATGTTTGAAAAAACTGGAGGTGGGTCTGCCACTGCTCAAAAAACCTTAAAACCTATTATTTACACAGTTGCTGACAATACTGTGAAATTAATAGGTGTAGGTCCCTACATTGTTATGTTTGAGTAAGAAATGATACTTTTGATTGAATCACATGTTATGCCCTAAAGGATTATGATACAGCCTTAATCGGAGAGCGGTTTTCTATACCTGTTTTAAAACATTAAAAAATATTTGTACCCTGAAAAAAATCACTGGTAAGTAGGAGAATTGTATGACATTAAACTTGTGGAAAGATCCTCTGACTTCATTGACCTTGAACTCTCTGTGTTTAGAGATGTGTATAATTAATGTGCATCCCTGGTGCAGAATGTATTATTTTGTGTAAGGTAAGCAGTAAAAACAATTTTGTTGAATTGACTTTATGAGACTAATAAATGCTTTTTTTGGCCTTGTTACAAGTGATTAAATAAACATTAGGCTTTCCCAGACAAGTTACAAAGCTGCTTAAATGAATTTCAGTATAAGTTTTAGCAAAATACTCTTGTATAATTGTCTTCTGCTATTTCCCAACTCAAGTTTATTTATTTAATAAATGAATCTTTTCATATTGCTTGATTGAATTTCCTCACAGTTGTATCTATATGACATATGGCTCAATTTACATGCACTTTCACTTTTTAAAAAGTGACACTACTACCCTAGGCAAATCAGTTATTTTATTACTTGAGTGATGAATGTGTATGTTGAATACTAAAGGAAGACAAAAAACTCAGTAATAAGGATTGTAAGGTCAGAGGGAGGTCGGTGTGGGAATGTAAATGTGATATACAACATCCCCCTTGGGTGTGTGCTGTGTATTGTATTAGCAGAATAATTTGGGATAAGAAGGTAAGTATTGTCCTTTTTCCTGAAGTCAGTATTATAGCAGATGAATTTTAAGTTTGATGGTATATTTTCTTCTGATTTTCTTGGAATAATTCACAGTAGTAATTCCTACTTGCAGGGTATTAGTGACCAGTGAACTCCACGTGACTCAGTACATTATAGTACTGAAAGGAGTTCCTGGAAACAAACTAATTTAGGTCCCTAAAAATTAGCTTGTTTTAGTTGGGTACTATATGATACACTTATTTTAGTTTTTAGCAAACTTTTCTCTAAATACAGTCTTTAGTTCCAGACTATGACACTACTAAAGCTGTGAGAGGAATTTTAGGAATCTTTCAAAAGTGAGCAATACTTGTCATATTTAATTAAATAATTCTTTCTCTTATCCCTCCTTTCCTGTTAACATTTTGATGCTGTTCCATCCTAATGTTGGAATATGTTTGAGAAAGAATGAAAGAGGAAAAAAATTAGATTTATATTAAACATCTGTGGTTAACTTGATTTTTAATATTTGGGGCTTTTTTAAAGCCAAGTTAAATGATGCTCATTTAATTATAACAGTGATTTTACCAAAGCTGGTGATATCAGGAAATCTGGGTGTTTCTAATAATGCAGACTTCTGGAAGATTTCTGCACAGGTTAGACATTTTCTAAAGGCAGATATTTCTAAACGGGAGGTTGGAAGAGGAAGATGGTGATGCTGTTCAGGTAATTAAGAGTGATATGCTTACCTTGACATTGCCTTTCCATTCAGGATTCAGGTGGAGGACGGGAACAGCTGTCTGACATCTACAGGCATAAAGAACCAGGTGGCTGCTGGGTGCTGTTACTTACTCAGAGGCCTGAAGTTAAATTTCTGGTCCATGGCCCTTCAGAGGTGGATCTGGCCACCCTTATTAGAGCTCCTTGAGGTGTTTGATAAAAATGCACGTTTTTGAACGTGGTCTTCATACATTCTGACTGTCATATTAGGACAAGAATCTTCCTTTTTTATCAAATGTCTCCAGGTTTCTAATCCTCCTACGGTGAGGAACAATGAGAGAATGAGGGTGTGCTGGCTTCTACTTCCCTCAACCCAGCTCAGTGCAGACAACTGCGATAGGTTCTGAACTAACCAAATCTAAAAGCCGTGTCATTTAGGAGCTTTAGCTGGTGCTGTGCTTAAAGTATGACAGTGGGATGAAAGCTAGGTGGAGGAAGCTTACATGGTGAACACTTTTCTTGCTTATCTTCTCATCTTCCAGTAGCACACTGAGGAAGAAATAAGCAAAGGAAAAAATAGGTGTATAAATTTCAGTAAGTGTAGTGGTTTTAAAGTGGGAGGAAACTGAATGGGATAATTTTGCTTGCACAAGAGGTGATACAGAGGGATTTGGAAAGATGAAGCATTGTTCTCTCAGAAGATAATGACCAGATGTTCTTCATCATCCTGGGGATGTATCAACAAGAGTTTGCACAGCAAATGAGGGCACATGGAACAAGCATGTCCTTAAACCAAGGCCATTCAGTCTCAAAGTGAAAGTTCAGAGAACACTGAGGTCTTCTTCTAGACAGTAAATTGTAAACTATTGAGAATGTCTTTCTACAGCTTCAAAAGGTGTGGCAAATGAAATTTTAAGATATTATTCTGCTTTATTTTAATTTAAAAGAAGCTTTGGCTTAGGCACATCACTGACAGTCTATGATAGCATCTCATTATAGTTTGAGCATTTATTTGCTATTAAACGTCAGTTTAACTTACTTGAATTTACCAAGACATTGGTTATATCTTTCTCTTATATATTCTCATTTTCCTTGTAAGGTTAAAAAAGCACCTGCTTTTAAAGTTTTAAATACTTCACTGAAGAGGTTACTGTATTAAAGATTACAACTTTGCCCTTGTTTACCTTCATGTGGTCAACTCATGTGAGCTTAATTATATTTAATTAATGTCTTTAATGTGGACCCCATGGCCATTGGATAGCTTCTTCTCTTAAGTGTTACTTACCTTGCTTGCCCTGTCTGTGTGTGTGTGCATACAATTGGGGGCTGAACCCAGGGCCTCCTACTCAGCTACCTCCCCAGCTAATCATTTATTTTTTTATTTTGAGATGAGGTCTGGTTAAGTCCCTGAGTTGTCCAAGCTGATTTTGAACTTACTATCCTCTTGCTGAAACCTCCAGGAGTGCTGGGATTGCAGGTGTGTGCCATCCAACCCTGCTTGCCTTCCTTACCTGCTCTTACTGTCCAGTGACAGTATATCACAGACGGCCAGCTTCTGGCCATGTGCAAATCCAGGAGTGCCGGGCTTGGTCTTTTTTTCTTTCTTTCTTTCTTTCTTTTTCCCTTCCTAGAAGTTATCATTCCTTCAAATAAGGGTCCTGGCAGGGTCATGCACTACCATGAGACTCATCTTTTACTTTTCATAGTAATTTTGTATAGTAAGTCTAGGGGCCTCTGAACTGGCTTGGCAGCTGTATCAACTTAGGAATTCCATGACTGTGACAACCGTATGGAAACCTGCCGGCAAGTCCCAGTCTGTGGGGAGTTCCAGCATATGCAGGGATAGGAAGGGAGTTCCGGTAGATTAGTATTGCCCACCAGGCTCGTGGCAACTATTGTCCTTGGGGTTTTTTTGGTCAATCTCAGCATGAGGAAGATTGGTGGTGTCATTCCAGGTTAGACACTTTCATTTTTACTACACAGCATTACCATATTTTACCTTTTGAAAGTTTGAATTTCTGTCCCATTTAGAATTCTGGTAATGTAAAACATACAGGTGAATGTTGCTATTTTTTTTTTTTAATTTTGGAGGGGCTGGGGCTGAACCAAGACCCTACCACATGTAAAGTACTCTGACACTGAGTCACACCTACAGCTGTAATGTTACTGTGTTTTTGACACTATTTAGTGTCATGTTCAAAACTTTTGTGCTTTCAATTATTCACATTTATTCATTCATTAGTAAAATTATGTGCTATAGATAAAATTTTAATCCTAGAGTGTTATTACATAATGTTTGTTACAAAGAATTTAAATTGGATTTAAAAATCCAGTACATAGAGTGACAGAGATGTTTCAAATTTTATTTTAAACATTCACAATAATAATAAAGCTACCTTAGCCCAAAACTTACTAAGAAAAGTAACTTAGGAGACTTTTAGCTCTTTCGCAAGCAAAAGCTGAATTGTAAGGAGACGTAGCTTATATGAATGACAAAGGTTTGACACTGTACTTTGTAAGTATGTACAGAAAAAAAGGAAAACCTAAAGAACATTTTGGATTTTAAATTGAATTGAAAAGTGGTTCCACTTGAATATCTGTTATCCTCACAGGCTGCTCTGGCCTAGAGATATTTTTCAGACACATTGTAACGGAAATCAGTCTCTTCCTAAGTGAAGTTTCAGGAAGCAGAGAATTTAAGACAGCAACGGTCATTGATAATTACTCACTTATTCCTACATTGTGCTAACTAGCTATGAAGACCATGCCAGTCATGAGTTCCTGCTTTTTGGTTTGGTTTCTGTTTTTTTTTTTTCCAATGTTGAAGGTGAACCAAGGCCCTTGCATATACAAGGCAGTTATTCAACTCTGGCTCCCTTTTATTTCATATTAGAAAAAAGGGTGATATACTAAGGAACTGTTTTTAATTCCATATATGTGTTTTTTCCTTCTGTTTAAAGGGGGAGCATAAATTTCTTTGGTTTATAAAAGACTTCTTTTTTTACTGTCCTCTTCATGTAATCTTTTTTGTTAAGCTTAATGATTTAACATAACCACAGATAAATTTACAAAGTATCAGAAACTTAATTGTACATTTTGATTAAGTGAAAAATGTATTGACAATGTCACACTTCATGTATATTTCACAGTGCTATAGGTGACTGAGGTACTTTAGTAGGCTATGGCTGAAAGTTCACATGTAAAGAATTTGATTTCTGTTACTGTATTTCTGAAAAATATCTCTAGGCCAGGTAAGCCATCTGAGGATAATAGACATTAAAGTGGAACTACTTTTCAATTGAATTGAATTCATTTATTTGTTTTTGACTCTTTGAGACAGGGTCTCACTGTGTAATTTAGGCTGGCTGTGAACTCACTTTGTAGCTCAGGCTGGCCTCAAATTCAGAGGGATCCTCCTGCCTCAGTATCCCGAGTACTGAAATGGTAGGCATGCACTGCCATGCCCACCTTTCAATTCAGTTTAAAATCCAATAAGCTGTTTAGTTTTCCTTTTAATTGACATGCAGTAATTATACATATTTATGAGGTACAGTGTGATAATTCAGTAAGTATATGCAGTGTACAGTGCTTAAGTCAGGCTAATTAGCCTTTTCTCTCTTTATAGAGCTCTCATTTCTTAGTGTTTAGAGACTTTGAGCTCTTCACTCCAGTACATCATGGGTTTTGTGGACTATCATTACCATGCTGTGATACGGAACATTCAACCTTAGTCTTCTTAGCTGTTGTACTTTGGCACCTGTTACCCAAGCTTTGTCTCTCCTTTCCACTACCTTTCCTTGCCTTTTGTAATACTATTCTACTCTCTTCCTCTTTGAGAATGACTTCTTTTAACTTCTACATATGAGCAAGAACTTGGAATTGGTGTTTCTGTGTCTGACATTTTTCACTTAACATAATGTCCTCTTAGAAAGTTGTTACTTATCATCAGCGTTAAAATCTAAAACTTACAGTTTTGCTACCTTCCTGTTCCCCACTCCTCACATTCAGTCCTAGCCAAACCCTGTTTATCACTTTCCTATTTAAGAAATTCTCGTACTTCTCTTCAGCCTTTACTGTAGTTCACCTGCCGTTGCATCATCTCCTGAAACAGCTGAGTCCACTTTTGGTCTTCTCTGCTCTGTTCTTTACACAGTCACCTCAGTAGTGTTTGAAATCTGATTGATCACTCTTCGTATCGTTTATTGATTTTGCATGCTGTTTGTAGGAGAAGGACCATAACCCCTGAACTACCTTCAGAACCTATCTGCATCTCTCTGGTTTCACATGAAGGCAAGGGTCTTGTCTGGGTGCTTGCTGTTGTATCTTGGGTGAGAAAATTCATAAGGGGATGACATTAAGGCTATCAGCAGTTTCCAAGACTGAGTTTTTATCTTTGCCTCTAGAATTTGCTGCTGTATTCATTTATAAATGTGACTGTTTGTCTTAAAGGTGGCAGTTCTCATTCCTTTCCGTAATCGCCATGAACATCTTCCAATTTTTTTCTTGCACCTGATTCCTATGCTCCAGAAACAGCGGCTGGAATTTGCCTTTTATGTCATTGAACAGGTGAGAATATTTTTCCAAATGATCACTTAGTGTTATAGAACTTAAAACTCTAAAATATGGTTTGATTAAAAATGTTAAGATTAATCAGGTAATGATTGGTTGTATAGTTGAATAAAATTATATTTTATATTACGCCTGTATTTTTTTCCTGTAGTAGTTTTCTTACAATAATTGGAATTTGGTCAAATGAGTTGACAAACAATCCCATTTAACTTTATGGAACCCTGATATAGTTAAATGACTCTCAAAACAGTAGATGGTCAAATTTAGATATTTACATACAGCTGATTTTTATCTTCTAGGATGACAGTGTCCTTTGACTTGCTCTGTTTTATACTTTGGCTTATGATTTTTGTTTATTCCTGAAAACCTTTGTAAAGTTTCATTTAATTGAGAATGTGTTTTGTGTTGTGTGTTTTGTCATGTAGGCATGTCATGTCCACATAGGACACATTTAGCTTTGTGTACTGCCCTTTGGACTCAGAAATGATACATGTTGAAGTGAAACTTAAAGCTTCTAAATTATATTGAAATGCTTTAGAGTCACCTCAGATGTGTTCATTGTACTTAATTTTAGAAGATCATTTCAGTTTCTGACCCATGGGTTTAAGTATAGAAAATAAAGGGTAAGGTTTTGTTGGTGGTAGTATTCAACAGCAAGTATCAATGGATAATTCTTCATTGAGGATTTTTTTACTATGAAGCAGTTACTGGTTACCCCTGAATATTAATGTTGTGTGAATTTATTAGGTATTTGGGGGCACTTGAGTAAGACCCTTAAAATCCTTAAAAAGAAAGTGATATACAGTGAACATTTGCTGTTTTTAGTTTTCAAAGTCATCTTTCTTACTAGAGGAACCGTGAGTGATTCTTTTTAGCCACATGTATATTATTTGGGAGCCTCGCTTAGCCAGACATTAGTAATGGCTCACTGACCTTTCCATGATATAGACCGGATCAATAACTGATAGGTAAATACGCATTGAATGAACTGACTGGTTAAAAGTATTTTTTCTTTTAACGTTAGTACATATTTCTCATACATAGTGCTCACATTCGTCATAGGAAATTTGTACCTGTACAAAAAATACCTTAATTCTTTCTTTTCCCATTCTGCTCCACTCTTCAGCCCTTTCCCTCCCCATTTACTGAAGCTTTGTTTGCATTTTTTCCCTTCAACTCTTTTTTCTAAATCTCTGTTGCCTTACTTCCCTTCCTCTTCCCCGCCCCCTTTTTCCCCTTTCTGTTTGAATAGGTCTTATTCTCAGCCTCTGTCTCCCACTTTGCTCCTTACTTACAGTAGGATTTCCTCACATGAGAGAAACTATGTGATACCTAAACGTGTGTGTCTTGCTTATTACACTTAAAATTTATGGTCTCACAGTCGGGCTGTTGGCACACTCCTGTAATCCCAGCACTTGGGAGGCTGAGGCAGGCAGATTGTTTACAACCAAGTTCAAGACCATCCTGGGCTACAAAGTGAGCCTAAGGCCAACCTGAACCACATAGCAATACCCTGTCTGAAAAAGACCAAAAAAAAAAAAAAAAAAAGGTTTCCAGGTGTATCCATTTACCTACAAATGACTCATTTAACTTTATGGCTGAGCAGTATTCCACTGTATATAAACACCACCTTTTTTTATCCATTCATCTGTTGATGGGCATCTGGCCTATTTCCAAGAGTTAGCTATTACAAATCATGCAGATATAAATATGGGTGTGCATATGTTGTTATGGAATGATGCCTTTAACTCTATTGGGAAGATTCCAAGAAGGGGAATAACTGGATCAAATATAACCTGTAGTTTTAATTATTTGAGGAATCGCCACACTTATTCCCATAATGGTTGTACAAGTTTGTACTCAGCAATGAAAAAGAGTTCCTTCCCCGCCCCCAGCCTCAACAGTATGTGTCGAGTGGATTTCTTGATAATAACCATTGTTTTTAGAGTGAGAAGGAGTGTCAGTGTTGTTTTAATTTGCATTTCTTAAATGACCAGAGATATTTAACATTTCTTCATGTATTTATTTGGTGTTTGTACTTCACTTCTTTGTCTGAGATGTGTCTATTGACCCATCTTTGGATTGGGTCTTTGAATAGTTTTAATATGAAGGTCTTTCACTTCCTCAGTTAGGTTGATTCCTAAGTATTTCATTTTTTGTGATGCTGTTGTGAAAGGTGTTAGTTCCCTAATTTCTTTCTCAGTGAATTTGTTATGTATGGACAGGAATGCAATAGATTTTTTTTTTTGTCTTTTTCATTTTTATTGGTACCAAGGATCGAACTCACAACTGCCTGCTTGCAAGGCAGGTCCTTATGCCACTGAGCTAAATCCCCAGCCCCAATGCAATAGATTTTTGAGTGATAGCTTTGTATCCAGCTATGCGACTGAATGTGGTTATTAATTCTAGAAGTCTATTGGTAGAGTGTTTGGGATCGTCTTTGTAGAGTAAATATCATGTCATCTACAAATAATGGTAATTTAAGTTCTTCCTTTCCTGTCCATGTACTTTTATTTCTTTGTTTTGTTAGTTGCTCCGGCAGGTGGTTTCAGAACTAAACTGAGTAGGGTTGATGTTAGTGATCATCCTTGTCTTGTTCCTGAGTTTAGATTGAAAGCTTTCAGTTTTTGTCCATTTAGTATGATGCTGGGTGTTGGTTTGTCATAGATGGCTTTTAACATATTGAGATAAAGAGTTTCTATTCTAATTTTCTGTGGGGTTTTTATTAATGTGTGTTGGACTTGTCAGATTTTTTTCTGTGTCTATTGAGATGATCATCTGGTATTTGTTCTTGGTTCTGTTAAATGTGGTATAGTACATTTATTGATTTGCATATGTTGAACCACGTTGCATCTTTGGGATGAATCCTACTTGATCATGGTATATTTCCTTGGTGGTTTGCTGCATTCTGTTTGCCAGTATCTAATTGAGGATTTTGGCATCTATGTTCATCAAGGAGATCAGACTGTAGTTATCTTTTTGATTGGATCCTTCTATGATTTTGATATCAAGATAATGCTTGCTTCCAGGAATGACTTGGTGCTTATGTTGCTAAACTCTATCCGTTGCTCCAGGAATCACTGGGAAGTATTGCTTCCTTTTCAGCTTTATTAAAGAGTTTGAGTAATTGTGGCATTAGATCTTCTCTTAATTTCTTGTTCAATTCAGCAGTGAATCCATCATGACCTGAGCTTTTCTTTGCTGGTATTTTTTTTTAATAGTTTTTCCATTTCATTGACTGAAACTAGGTTATTTAGGTTTTTCATGTATTCTTGATTCAGCTTTGGTAATTCATCCATCTCTGCGATCTGGTCCATTTCTTAGGGATTTTCTATCTTCCTAGTGTATAGGTTCTCAAAGTATATTGATCTTCTGGATTTCTGCTAGATCTGTTGTGATTTCGCCCTTTTCATTCCTATGTGAACTTTAAATTTATTTTTCCTTCCAGATAAGATTGGCTAAGGGTTTGTGTATTTTATTTAATCTTTGAAAAAGTGACTCAATGATTTATTGATTTCTTTGTGTTATTTTCTTAGTCCCATTGCATACATTTTTGCTCTGATCTTCATAATTTCCTTGTTCATACAAGGTCTGAATTTAACTTGCTTTTCTTTTTCTAGAAGCTGAAGTTCAACAGTAAGTCATTTATTTGAGGTTACTCAGTTTTTCTGATGGTGAATTCATTGCTATAAATTTCCCTCCTATGACTGCTTTCATTGTGTCCCGCAAGTTCCAGTATGTTGTATTGACATTATCATTTAATGGTAGAAACTGTTTTATTTCTTTCTAAATAAATTGTTTTATTTCTTTCTGATCCACTGGTTGCTGAGGAGGCTTTTATGTAATTCCCATGTGTTTATGTAGTTTTCGTGGTTTCCTTTGACGTTGGTGTCCAGTTGCATTGTGCTATAATCTGGTAATATGCATGGGATAATTTCAGTTCCTTTGCATTTACTTAAGCATGTTCTATGAGTTTGGTCTATTTTGGAGATAGTTTCATATGCTGAGAATATGTATTCTATTGTTGGTTGGAATGCTCGGTAGATATCTACCAAGTCCCATTTGTTCAAAAGTTTGGTTCAGCTCATATTTCTTTGTTGATCTTTTGTTTAGTTGATTTGTGTATTTATGACAATGGGATATTGAGGTCCACCATTATAACTATTTTAGTGTTTATCTCGCTTTTCATATTCATCAGTGTTTGTTTTATAAACTGTAGTTGGGTGTGCTGGTATTTGGTGTATATATTTTTATGAGTTTTATCTCTTCCTCTTCTATTGTTCGCTTAAGTTTGTAGTGATTTTCATTGTCTCTTCTGATCAATCTTGACTTGAAATCCACTTTTTTTGCAAATAGTTTAGCTATTCCTACTTTTTTCCAGGTTTCTGTCACATGGAGTATTATTTTCTATCTTTTGACTTTCAGTCTGTGAGTTTCTGTGTAAGTTGAATGTGTTTATTGTATGCAGCATAACATTGGGTCTTGTTTCTTGATCCAATCTGCCAGTCTGATTCTTTTGATTGATTAATTGAATCATTCATGTTGATTGGCATAACTGATGGGTCCTGACTTATCCTTGTCATCATATTGTTTTCCTATTGTTGATACCTTTTCTTTTTTCTCTGTTTAACTGCTTGCCTTTCTAGTAGATTGATTCTGTTGGGCTTCTTGGAATTGTTTTCTTCATGGTCTTTTTCTGGAATATCCTTTTGGGAGTGCTGGTTTGGTGGTCATAAATTTCCTCAGATCTTTTGTATCATGCAAGTGTTTTATTTCTTATCAGTTTTGAGAGATAATTTTGTGGAGTACTTCAGTCTGGGTTGGAGATAGAGAAAAAAAACATATGTTACATAGAGGATTAAACCATGTTATAAATAAGATCTCTTCCAAATCAGATTCTGTGATTCTTTTTTAAAAATTTAACATAATACGAGTACGTGTCACAGAAAATACAAAACCACTCTTATATAAAAAAATAAAATTTAATAGCAAAGTAA